TATGGAGATAGGATGCATCCCTGGCGTACGCCCTTCCCAGTTTTGAACCATGCAGTGTTTCCTTGCTCTGTTCTGACGACTGCCTCCTGGTCCAAGCTAATGAATAGCTTTTACAAACAGAACTTTATTTCCTCTCATTTTAGGAGGCTAGATGTTTACATTCAAGGTGCTGGCTTTAGGGGAAGGCTTTTCTTTCTTTGTTGCCTCTGGAGGAATTTTTTGTCTTTTTGTGCTTCTGTTCTGGGTAATCTTCATGTGGCTTGGCATCTTGCTTCCCCTCATCTCTGCATCTTTTGCTTGCTTGTCTAATCTCTCTGATACCTCAAAGAGGCTGATTTAAGACACATCTTATACCACTCCATCTCATTTGCAGAACATTCCTAAGTAGGATTCTAACCAGCTTATGACCAGGATAGGGTTTACAATACATACTTTTGGGAAGTGCCATTCAATCCATAACAGTACTTCTTTATTTTTATTGTCAGGCCTTGTACCTCATTGCCACCAATGGGACCCCAGAACTTCAGAATCCAGAGAAACTGTCAGCCATCTTCCGGGACTTTTTGAACCGCTGTCTTGAGATGGATGTGGAGAAGAGAGGTTCAGCTAAAGAGCTTCTGCAGGTAATAATCCCTTTGCAGAGATATATCTAGCTTAAGAAATCACATACCCAAGCTTTCTTCCTTTTAATCTGTAACCCTCTCACTACTGTCAAGTCAATTCCGTGTGTCCCTGTAGGACAGAGCAGACCTACCCATAAGGATTTTGAAGCAGTAAATCTGCATACTCTGCCTCGTAGTTCTTCTGCAGAGTTACTGGTTTTCTTGAACTGCCAGTCGTTAAGTTAGGGGCCAACTACTATACCACCAGGGCTGGCCATTACAGAAGAAGGCTTCTTGTTAACACAGCCTGAACTCAACCCATACTTTTGAGTTCTCCAACCTTCATTATTATGCCTTTCTTCCCATTTAAGCTCGATTCTTTTAGGCTCAGCCTAGAGTATGTTTTGTGAACTCCTGTTGAATTTGGACGGGTTCTTTCTTGAGCAGTTCTGTTTTTCTACCTGAACTGGCAGAGTTTGAGTCCTTGTGAAAAGAAGCTGATAGACACTTCTTACACAAGGTACGTGTTCTGCAAAGGACCCCAAGGACTGTCAATTTAGAGGACAGTTAATGAATGTGACTTGCTTGTCCTGTCTCCCTGGTTTCGTCATTGTACACTGTATGAGGTGGTGGCAGTGCTGGTCTGCTTACCTTGAGTGAGATTCTGCCAAGTGTTTGAGAAGCCCTGTGTGGACGGTTTACCAACTTTTCAGTGCCGCATAACATTCCATGTATAAATGGAGCATAGTTTTTCTATCCATTCACTTTTTGATGGACACTTGGGTTGCTTCTATTTGCTATTGTGAATAAAGCAGTAATAAACATGAATGTGCAAGTATATATTTTTTTAATTAATCATAGTAGCATATATAGGAACATTACACAACGTGGGTGACCCTGGAGGCCATTACGCTGAGTGAAATATCTCCGCCACAAAAGGACAAATACTGCATGACACTACTGTTAAAATATAGGACAGACCTGATGGGGGATGAAGGGTAGGGAGAGAGTGAGAAAAATGTGGATAGATAATGAACACAGCCAAACAGATGAGGGGGAGAACTATCTGAAAGGAATATATGATTAAACACTGTGTGACAGGGGGGTGCATTGTTGAGTGGGCTGGGGGAAGGAGAGGGGAATGAAGAAAATGTGCAACAGTAATTTTTCCCCCAACAGTAAATTTTTTAAAAGCAAACAAACAACTGAAAACCCACTCAGACTCATTAGTGTTGCGTCAGCTGATCAGTTGACTCACAGCTGATCCTCCATGCCAAAGCCCAACATCACACAGGCAGAAACTGCCCTTCTCTTTGAGAAGCAGCTGATGGATTCAGACCACTAGAGAGGTTGGCCTGTGTTCTAGCAGCACAACCTCTTCAGGACTATGACACCAGATTGTAGAAGAATCTAGTATGCTGATCATTTGAGTTAAATAGCTGTGCCTAAACATCAAATTCAGTTTAAAGTTTCCTGGTAGCCAGGAGAAAAAATAAATTAGTTCCATTTTATTTGTCAAATGGAAGAAACATCCCACGGCCTCAAGAGCCAAAGCTTTTTCCATTCCTAAATGTAAGGGAAATTTGAACATTAAATGCTTTTTTCCAACTATACAGAAAGTTATTATATATTAGGTTTTCTGGACACATGTTTTGACCCTGTAGATTATAATCATTCAAACTGTTTTTTGCAACTGAGAGTAAACTCCCAGTGCTTATGAAGGACGATCTGAGTAGTTTTGATACTGTTTAAAAACATCCCTCGATTTGGGCATAATCTGAAGCTTTGCAGGCAGTACCTTTATAAATATGGTATTGTTGTTGTGTACCTTCAAATCCAAACTGATACATAACTGACCATCTGGCAGGTCTTCAGAAACAGTTAATTGCACAGGGAAGATTGCCCATCTTTCTCCCATGGAACAACTAACTGGTGGGCCTGAACTGCTGGCCATGGAGATTGCAGCACAGCTGCTTGCCACTAGGCCA